AATTAGCACTCGTGTTCCAACATAGGACAGGAAATAGAAAGCTCATTTCTCTCTCCTTAATTCACCTTATTGTGCTTTGTGTAGCCACTCATGCAGAATCAAACATTATTAACACTACTTAGGGAAAACTCCTACTGCTTTTGCTGGCAGCTTTGCCAGCAGCTTTGCCTTTGTGATCAGGATAGCTGCTTGCAAAGTGAACAGCTACAAACCTGTTCGCTGCAAACCTGTCAAGAATGGAGCCTGCAATGTCTGGCTTTGCAAGAACAGTCCTGTTTTCAAATGCAAGGTGCTCTAATGTGTAAAGCGTAAGAGAAAAATCTATAAAAGGTGATAAGTGATGGAAACTGTTACGCTCCATGGGAGAAAGATGTAATGGTATAAAAACTTTGCTGGTTACTCAAATAAAATAGTAAATTTCATATGTTGAATTGTATTAGATGTAAACATAAACTAGCTGTGAATCTTTCTAAAACGTGGCACTTGGTAAAGTCAGCTTTTCTGAAGGAGAGGGGTGCAGTCCCAAAAATTCAGCTTTGCCCAGGGTAGTCGGGGTGTCTGAACACTGTATGCACTCAAACAGATGTTGTGGAAACCCACCGTGAAACGACACACGCATGTTCCAGGCACAGTGGAGGAAATGGGAAAATTACTTCTACAAATCTGCAGGAAGGCAACACTGTTATGGCACCATGCTGCTTCTGAGTGGCAGTGCGTATGTGAATTTTGGCACCAGACTTAACGAAATAAAGGCTCAAGGAATGCTATAAAATGGTTGTCCCTGCCTTTTAGAAGCAGCTAAATATCCCCAGCCTTCCAAAGAGTACATCAGGATCAAGCAATACATCTGTGTTGAAGCAAGGAGGGACACCAGCCTTTGAGTTTTTGTCTGCCACAAAGCAAAAACAAACCGCAAGTTATTAATGGCTCCATTTGCACTTTTTTGGAAAAGCTTTTTCAGTTTCTTCCTCTGTTCTAACATATTGACATTGCCAGCACCCTCTGCTTGGATCCCAAAGGGAAAAATGTATTTAATATGTATTTAATGGGTGATTCTCGGAGCCCCCCAAATCAACAGCAAGAAGGATCACAGAAAACTAAGCCACTGACGACTCCAGGGTTGCAGGGACATACAAAGAGGAAGAAATCATCCCTGTGACATTATGGCTTAGCAGACAAGTAGACTTGTTTCCAAAGAGACTTGCATGTCCCCCAGATGTGAGAGAAGGCTCTCCAGGCTCCTTCGAGCCGCTGCCTGAAGCCGAGTTCTGCTTCTAGCTGTTGCTCTTCTGATCCTGTTAATGCCTGTCACCATGGGAGGTGGCACTGCTCATTTGAAACAAGTGAAACAAAGGTGTAATGAGACACAGGCAACCTTTTGCCTTTTGAACTCCCCAGGGTTCTTAATTAATCCACATTTCGTAACCACAACCAATTGTTTGCTGCAAGTCTTGGGAATACAGGGGAAAAAAACCCCACAGTTTAATGCATTTTAGGAAAAAAGCCTGACTCACAGAAGTGCCAGATCAGTTGGATTTCACAAAATTCCGACTTTTCATCTGCTTACGGTATTTATGTACACTGTGTACCTGCCTGGCTGAAGGCCAGACTGCCTGGAATCTGTTTGCCTTCCCTCGCAATGGGAATACTAGGCCCCTCTTCTGAGGGAGCTTTTGGAAGGAGATCAGTTAGTCTTGGGTTTGAACCATTGTCATAAAGAGAGCTTTCCCACTGCTCAGTTACAGCAGCAAAGAAGAGAAGAGGTAAAAAGCTTTTGAGGTATCTCAGGGGAAAAAGCAAAGGTGTGCTGATGTGTGATACAGATTATTCTGAAAAGAAGCTCTGCTGTTTTGCCTTCCATTGTGCAGAGATGCTGCAGGAGAAGAACATGGCTGTGAAATGCATCAGCATGTTCTCTCTACGTACCATTGCAACGACTGCTCTAGAGATTAAAAAGTACCTTGTATCTTTAGTCTGTGGGCTGTACAGAGCACGGCTCTGGCACTCCAGGTGTTTGCATAAGGAGGGGTTTACTCTCAGTTGGTGTTGCCACGTGTTGCCTTTACAGGAATTTGTGAGCACCAGCAGCAGGTAGGCAGCTGCCAGCCAGACAACGTGTTGATAAAGAATAAGAAAAGGAGAATTTAGCTGCCATCGAAAGCATGGGAAAGGAAGGAGTTTTAAAGTCGATGCAAAACTTAATCATAGTCTAAAGATCTTTACGACAATTTTCACATTGGACTAACGAGAGAACAGTACTGACTTCTGCAATGATTGTCACGATCCATCCATGCTCTCTACTAGACTTCCAGCCAGGCATTCCTGCTGTCCCCAAGTTCATCCCTGGTTTCTGCTGCAGTAAAACTGCCCAGAGAAACTTAAGCACCCTTCTTGACTTGCGAGCCTCTGTGAAAATGCTCTGCCTACATTCTGACTCTGAGTATTTCTGCAATATTCAAATGTTAATGCAAAATGTAATCTACAATATCCCATTTGAACAAAAAGCAATCAATCTAATACACTACAGCTCAATTACTTCCTTGGTCTCTGTAACAGGTGCTGTCAAATAAATCTACTGAATAAATCAGTCCCATTGTAACCATTAGGAAGGCTTTTATAACTGCATTTGCTGAGTGGGAGGACATTTTTCTCTCAGTTTTTTTACTGACAGTCAGATAAAAAACATACTAATCAAGAGAGACATGCAATAAATGCCTTGGAGGTGAACTCCTGTTTATACTGAGGTCTCTTAGTCCTCCACTTATTTGAGGATTCTGATGCTACCACAGCAAAGAGAACCAAGCCCTTTGGATCCAATCCAGTTTTCATCATGGATGGACTGGGAGATGCCTAAAACACTGAGGCTGCCTGCATAATATTTGCACGCTGAGCACCTTTGCATCACCTATGCTTTATTCTTCTATCACAGCCTGTCCTTTCTTATTCCTGGCAGGAGACTCACGGGGACCTCCAGCAAGGGCATCTGCAGGGATGGAGCTGGTCCCCATTACAGAAAATATCTCTATATGTATTTCTGTTATGCTACTGCACTATATTTGCAGCAAAATCCATCTTTGCTTTCTTGCCACTTTAAAAAATACTGCCCCTGAATATTTCCTTCCCCATTCTTGCTCCTTTTACTTTTCAAATGTTTATCAGAAGGCACTGTATTTCTTTTCATAAAGCTCCATGGTCTGGAAAATGGATCAAGAGAATGACACTACTTAGCATAGGTTTTTTCCCCCTGCCGGGGTTGCTCTTTTTCCCCCCAATGCTTTGCAGTAAGATTGAGCAAGTGAAAGTGTCAGCTCTTTCTGAAATGAGAACAGCGCTGGGATTGTCTGTTGGCATCATGCAGCACGGATACAGATGCACAACAATAGAAGATTAGCAGATAGCAGCTCTGCAACCACTATTCATTTAGCTGCAATGTAAATACTGCTCCGCTGGGGGAAAAATGGAGGGGCTACTGCGAGCCAGGCAGGATAAAGTCTGCAGGACTCCAGGGGGTTTCAAAGTTCAGGAAGCAGAAGGTCAACAGAAAGAGGGTCTCTGAAGAGAAGTCAAAAAGAGGAGAGTAACACAGACTTAACTAACAGGAAAAGTCACCCCAGTGCCACCACTGCTTGACATCTTTGACCATTTTTCTTTTCATGCCAGCAACAGATGTCACTGCTTGCAAGCGACTAATGGCAACTCTAGGGACAGTGAAAAAATGGATGTGGGAGCATGTGGAAATGCTAACCAAGGCAACCCTGTAAGATGCAATGATTAAATTGCATGTTTAAAAGCCTCTACTATACCACTTCCTTCTGGGAAGCCTGTATTTTGTTCTGCAAAGTCTCTATTTTATCTGTACAGCATTAAGCTCTGTGTTTTCTGGCAAGAGCTGTACCATAGCTCAGTTATAATGAATGAAATGAGCTGGTAACAGCTGGGTATTTATAGGCTCAGCGGGCTGATGCTCCAAAAAATCTGAAAGCACTTAAAAGTGCTTTTGGCTCCAGAGCAACGCTGACAATCCCTACCAGCTTGTGGGGACATTTGGAAGGAGTCACGGCAGAAACAATGACCATGGAAGTATCCTGAGCTTTGTGCTGAGCATCTTCCAGTCCAGTTTGCAGAGAGTGAAAAATGAGTTAAAACATTAAGATATGGAAAAACAAGATTGCATGTCCAAGATTACTGTCAATATGAATACACAAGCTAAGTTCTGCATGATTTTCTGTGGAAGAGCTCACTCATGAGTAAAGACAAGGCAATGAGATCATTAGTTTGCTTAAGGTAATTGAGTTGAATATTGCTAGACATATAATATAGTGGCTTATCATTAATGACACCAGATAGCTTTGAGGAAACTAAATGTCTGCCCGACATACAGATTAATCTCTTCCTGCTTCCTGGAGACCTACGCTCCAAAAAGGCAGCAGCCCAGGTCTGGACCTAGCAAACCAGCCATCGATACCACAGAGCTTCTGTAATTACAAACTGGTTCCTGCACCACGGTGTCAATACAGCCCGGGGGACCAAGGTACAAGGCCTATGAGCTTGCCCCTGTATGAACCTGAACAGTGTTGAAGGCTCCACCGAGATAAGATTGCAGGTCGCACCTGCTCCGCAGTCACGTGTTTGAGCTCCAGGTTTCCCAGCTGCTGATCCTACCTGCTGATCCGAGGCTTGCAAGACAGCAAGGTCTTTCTCGGAGGATAACGGCATTTTCTGTCTCCAGTATGAGATATTTCAGAACCAAAAAACCCCAAACATATCCAACAAGAGAGGCAAATTCGCATTATTTTGCTCAATACTGAGCGCTGGCTGGGCCAACAAAATCTATGATGAAGTCTGACATGAGAGTTATCTCAAAGAAAGGAAAGAGCGACAATGTACGTAGAGGTGCTCTCTTCAGTATCCCGTCTTCCCCTACTCAATGAGTGTGAGGTTACAGTGCTGCAAGCAAAGGACAGATGGAAAAAACTGAGAATACAAGAAGTACTACTTACTACAGATGAAAGGTCCATGTTTACCATCCTCCTGTCATCCAAGTCGACTGGCTGGAGGCCTGCAACGTTGATCTGGACAGAAGAAGTTCTGTATACAAACCCCAGCAGCCAGTCCCCCCTAGAAGCAGAGCAGAAGAAGAGCATGAATAAATCCTGTTGCCAAACTAATGCAGTATGTGACTACTCAGACCACGAGGAGAGGAAAAGGGCCGGGAAGCGCAGTGATGTCTGGACCAAGACCTGCTGCAGCTTTGATGTAGGAATCACAGCAGTTGCCGAATTCAGGGCAGGTTCCTGGGACACAGTAGTGTAAGTCTGAACTCAATCCTGATTCATGGGTGTAATCTCATTACGCGCAGCAGGTTTAAAAATCTGACCCTTCTATTTATTTCTGTATTTGCTTAGAGATTGCCATACATTCACATATTTAATCTTTTTAATGTACTAATAGGTAGAAGTTCTCCAGCCTGTAGACAGCTGTAAACGTGATGAGGCCTACAATACCAATGTTGCTGACATAAATATCGACTGTGAAGCTCCTCGGAGTGCTCCTGATTTATAGGTACTGTATGAACACATGGTTTCAATGACAGAAGTAGGAAGAGTTTGTTCCCACTGTGAAGTATTGCCATAAGTCACTGTGACAGTTTCAGGGTAGACGATAGCATGATGAGAGAAGGCGATGCGTCCTTTGGAAATACATAACCTCTTCTCCCCCGCCGAGCAACAGCATAAAATCTGGGCACCTAATCGCCACTAGACTCTATAGAGTAGATTTAAGTTGGATGCAAGTGGTATTTGTACTCTGTGATGGCAGCAGGTGAAATGCACCTGCACAGGTGGCCGTTTCTGGCTGCTCCTGTCCACTCCAAAATGGTCTATGCTAGAAGTTGTAAGTCTACGCAGAGCTCTGCAAAATCTTTGCAACGCATCCTCGCTACTCAGGCATGGGCTCTTTCAAAAGCTGAGCGAGTCTAACTAATTTGGTTAAGGTTTCCCACTAGGACTCTGTAAGCCTGCTGTGAAATCGGATGGAACAGCTCTGACAGCTGGCTTTCACTCTCCATGTCCTTTCAGACTTCAAAGCTGGAGGAGACAAGCTACACTGGACTGAAGCTCAACAAATTGGTCCCAAATCTGATCTTGCAGGAATTCTATTCAATGTAATTCATCTGACCTAAATAGAGTTACTCCTAAAGTGACAGAACGAGGCCACAATTTGTATAAATGAGAGACCAGAGAAATCAGAATCAGATGAGGTCTTACCACGAAATGTTTGTATAATCCTTCTCTCATATCTAATATCCTCACATAAATTCTCCATATCCCTCAGTTACCTCCTCTAGCTGCCCCTCATGCTAACAGAATAACCCTCAAATTCAGCAGCTGAGGACAAAGTAGAGAACCAGCGTAGTGGAATATTTCCGGACAGTCTCCTCACCTGCTTCTTCCTATTTGTGAGCTACAATTTCTACCTCATTTTTCATTCAACATTCAAGACATGGGCTTGCCAAAGCAGAGACTAACCAAATTACTGCGCACACAGAGGTACAAACACACATACTATTTTATTCCAACAGCACGTGCAGGCTTTGAAACTATAAAAAGATTTTTTTTTTGTATTACAGGAAATGAATACACTGAGCTTTTTGCAGTGAAATTGATTTTTGTATAGTACAGGGAGGAACGATATTTGCCCAGGCAAATTCAGTTATATGCAACAATTGCTATCATTTATGGCTTCTTGGAGGAACACAGAAGCACTCCCAAGGAGGAAGCAATTGCTTTTTCCTTATGTCACATGGAGAAATACTGTAACTGGTGTGCACATCCGGCATCCATAAAACCTCCTGTGATCCAAAAAGGACAAGAGCAACAATTTTCAGCCTACCCGACAGATGGGGTTAATAATTTGTTGTTTTAATCTTGAATGCTTTTAACTCTTTTATTTAGTTCTTCTTTGTAAAATAATATACTATGTTAGATGCACAGTAGTACAATACTTTCTCATCTTATCCGTCTGTATGTAGGCATACATATGTATGTGTGTAGGGAAAGTACCGACAGCATTTTCAACTGTCCTTGACCTGAGGGCTGAGGGCTTTATAAGCTGTCTTGACTTGCAGTTACATGTTCTTTGCTAATCTTCTTGCCTGGTTATTTCTCAATTTATTTTCCCATGCTCTTAGTCTTCCCTGCTCCATTCCTTCGTTTTAATTTCCCCTCTTCTAATTGTGCTGGTAAGCAGTGTTCTTGTCACAATTATCTTCCAATACACAGTCATTAGATTTGATACTGTCACTTGAATTCTTAATAGCTCTTATAAGATTGCTTCAGCTGTTTCGTGCCTCTGAATCTCCCTCTTCTCACCCGGCAGCTCTCACAACTCTGCATAGCAGTTGTCTGCGCTGTTTTAAAAGGCTGATATTTGGTTTCAAGGTAACCTTTCTATTCATTCACATCCTTAGTACATTTGCTACAGCTATTCCTGCTATACCTCCTTTGTAAGTAAAATATCTTGTTCATGTGGACTACCTTCACCAGAAACTGACTCTAGATATAAAAAAAAATCTTCAATTATCTTGAGCTCCTTCCCTTCCACTGCAATTTTCACATCTTGTTCCCCATAAGCAGCCCCAGTGAATTGTATCTCAAAGCTTTTATAGATTTTAATTTGCATTCTTTAACTGTCAGTGAACTTAACGGCCGTATTGATAGTCCTTTACATAAAGCTGAGATTTAAAGGGGCCTTAGAATATGTCAAATTATGCACACAAACACAGTGACCCAGCTTTGAGCTGCCAGGGTGATGTAACACCGCCACCGTATGAACAGGACCTACATATTGAGCACCTCAGGCTTCCAGTGTAACTATGCATCGCAAACAGTCAAGAGCTGGAGACAGAACAGCCTTCGAGTGTCTCCTGAAGACTGTCATCTCCAATTAATCTGAGGGAGAGACCTCTGGAGGGAAGAGGCTCTGGCACTGCCGTCTCTGCCGCTACTGAATCAACGCACTCACCAGCTGAACAATTATTCGCTTACAAAACGTTTGAAAGGGATAAATATGCAAAATCATTTCAAAGTGACGCTAGGATAATGAAGCAGGGGACTGAGCACGTACAGACCTGCAATAACCATTTATGATCCTGCCCGACACCACTTTTGTGATAGCTTTCCAGTACTTGGCTTCTCCTTCCACTGGAGCTCCCAGTAAGACCACATCTTCAATGATCCCTTGAGAGTCTATTAAGAGGAAAGCAGAACAGCTCAGATTTAGAAGACGGATCAGAAAATATATCTTTACACATACATGAAGGAGGGGTATGTTCAGATGTGCACTACAGAAAAGTCATCATTTCTGGGGTTTAAATGTTAAAGACAGAAACAATGGAAAGGAGGATCTTAAACATCATTTTGCATAAATGTTAAGTGTCCACAGTTCCAGCTGGAGTCAGTAAATGTGAAAATTAGAGATCCTGAGACAGCGAAAGGAACTGGGCTGATGGCAAGAGGGAGAAGTGGCCTGGCCTCTGTCCAGAAAGACGCAAGTTCAAGCAGCAAACCTGTGGAAAGTTCTTTCCACAGGCCTATTGATCTGGGTTTGCACAGAGCTGAACTATTATGCTTTGAAACAAGTGAAAGGGACTGACATTCCATATAGTGAGCAAACGTTGTCATATATTAAGCACGAAACACTCTTCCCACAACCAGTCCTTAGAGCTGAGTTCGTGAAAAACATGACCTGTACACGCAACAGAAAACCCCCAAATTCTTAATATTGATTGGGAACTAGCAACATTGAAGGCATTTGCCAACAAGAAGTAATAATCTATCAAACTGGTTTGATTTTCTTGAAGGGTACTTTAACCTGAATGCCCAGGGCACGATTTGCTGAAAAGGAATGTTGACTTTTAAGCATAATAAATCTTCCTATCTTATCAGACAGCTGCAGCTGGGGAATTTCAGTAGAAATAATGATTGAATAAGAAATATTGGGCAGCTCTGCTACTTTCCTAAACTCCTAAACAATATATTAAAATCTATTCATAAATCTTCTTTGTAAAGAGAGATCAAGCACCTGATGCCATAGCAGTTAAATGAAATTCACAGCAGTGCACGTCTTGGGAGACTCATGGGCATAGCATGCCAAATCCGTACTCTCCACCTGTGGGAGACCAGCATGTACAAGATGTGAGCTAAACCATTCTCAGGCTGGCGTTCGCAGTTTGTAAAATAATATGATGAAGTTTACGGGGAAGTGAAAGTGAGAATGACTGCATATCACATCAAGTTATGACGGAAAGGTGCTGCCTGGCTAGAATTTTTAAATGTACATCAATTGGTTTCCTTTCCCTAATAGCAGTAAAAGACTTGGAGCTGCCTGCAGTGCCTGCATCTTTCTCTGCAGTGTAAACCCCAGCGCCTGACAACAATCCAAAAGAGCTCTCGTGGTATTATTTCCTATTGCAAAGCAAATTTTGCACCAATCAAGAGAACAGCAAAGAGCAATTCAATTTTGTTAGTGTAATCTGTGAGCAATAAAGTCCTGTTCCCATAATCATGGGCGATGAAAAAGAAACCCAGAGCCTTGCGAACGGGGAGCTCGTTCCAACCGTGGTACTAAATTCCATGGCCGCAGTGTGAGCCAACTGAATAAACAGCTAATTCATCAGGATCCTGAACATTTGGGTAAGGTATTGGAAGCTTTTGTTTCTCCAGTCCTTTGTACAGCTTATTTCTTGCTCAGAACAAAAATGTTTAGCCTTGGCTGAAAGATACTAATTTTCTTCGAATGTTGACTGAGGGGGACAGAAACCTGAGAACAGATCACTGCCCTACATAGTTGCTGACACTCTAGATAAGTTAAAGTATTTCACAGTTTGCAAATCTTTCATACAATGAAGAATAATAAAGTCTGCACGGTGGGGGTGGGGGGGAAGGCAATTACTGATGGGCAAAAATTAAAAACAGGTAAGACGATTTGTCCAGAAAAGGCGCGGAAGATACAGGCTGACCCAGAGGCCTTAACCGGTCTTTGGGAGCTAGGCTTTGCTGTGGCTTTAGGGTACAACTCACTGGGCAAAGAGGAAAGCATCTCATCATGTTAGTCCTCACTGGAAAGAGAACAGAGATGGAATTTAGCTCTCTCTGGGCAGTGGACAGATGCAGTGCCAAGGACAGTGTTTCATGGCAGAGTTTGGCAGCAGTACTCCTGATACCTAACCACAGCAGAGATGATAACCCAGTGATGATACTGGTCACACATGCGAATCTGTAGGACGCTGTGATCAGTATTAGACAAATATGCGACGTGTGATACCTCACTCCTATCAAGCGCAGTATGGCTTCAAGGTTCAGGTTCAGGCCATTATCAATCTTCATTAGTTTACACTTCTTATTTACTAAAATGCATGGGAATCGTGATGAAGAAATCAGACCAATGATCTTCCCATGTAGTAACTTGTCTCTGACGGGTCATCGCTACATCTTCTGCTATAACGTCTTTTTCTGGAAGCCTACTAAGCTCTGGCTTCTGAAGTCATTTGTGATGAAGTATCCCAAATGTTATTTAATTGCTTTGCAGAAGAGTATTTTCTTTTAATAGAATTTGAGTTTCTGCCATGGTGTTTCACTGGATAATCCATGATTAGTTATTTGTCCTCAGATATGCCACTGCCATCTGGATACAAAAGGCCTGCATGACTAGGCCTTGTATTTCTTTTGTGTGAGACATCCAAGTCCAAACCCAAATCAGTCTCAGATGTCCCAGGTCCCAGCTCCATTACTTCTGTGGCTTGCACTGGAATGTGCATGTGAAGAATGCCTTGGCAATCTGCGCTGAACATGCCGCTTTTCATCTCGCAAACAACTCAGCTTTCATAATTCAATTAAGGAACTGAAAAATTAGCGTACGGTGGGGAGCTGCTATGATACATAATTACAATGCCTAGATTTCTTTAGAATGGCAGCCAACCTTAAAGACCCCTAATGATTTCCTTTCACGTATTACTTAGCTACGGTCCCATGTTATTCCAGCAAGAGACTGCAGACCATTAAATAAAAGCCTGAAAATATCTCAGCCCCTGGCATTCTTAGGACACAAAAAGAGTAGATCTAGGGCCAGGTTAGGATTTGGGTTCTGGCTTCAGTATAACTCCATTAGGATTGTTCTGGATTTGATTAGATTTATTTTGAGAACAGAATTCCTGTATTTGAGGACTTCCATCTTAAACCAGAAGCGAAGTTCTGGTACACAGCTGTCAACAGAAAAAATGCTGTCCTCCTCCGTCCTCACCTGACTCTATTCCCACCTTCTTGGACTTTATTGAACATTTTCCTTTATAAAGCTCCTTATTTATTAGCAGCTCTTTGTGAGGCTAAATGGTTAATGAATTAAATTAGCCACATAGGGGGGAAGGCAGGCTGCATGCACACACTCACTGCTGACTCAACTCCAAGATGCAATTCACATCAACTGATCATAATGATTTTATTATTTTTCTAAATCAAAAATAGAATCTATTAATAAACAGAACCACAACGGGTAATAAATTGACAGATGGTTTTATACTTGACTTTGGGGAAAAATTACCATGAAAATAGCAGATGACAGTGGCATTTCAGTGACTTAAATGGAAGGGAGGACTCAGGGAATCAGATACAATAGCTACAGAGAGCTTCCAATAAAGGCAAAGCATCCTCTGCCAAGATCACAGTGGCGCGGGGGCAGCTCACAGACTGATCTAGCAGTCGAATGTCACAAAATGTCAAGTTGTTGTTTACAGACTGGAGACCAAACTGATACACTGGAGCACCTCGAGTGAAGACAGCGGATTTAATCCACTGAACTGGTGGAAATGACAGTAGAATTTGGCTCCAAATGCATTTCAAAACCATTTTTTTTAGGTTTCTGTCCTATCCTAAAAGACCCAAGCTCTGTTCCAGAAGAACTCTTCCTCTTGGAAGAAAAACTTCTCTACCAGCAGTAAGGAAAATAAAGGAGAAAAAGGTTAGAAGGTGAATTTTACCTTTTTCTTGAGCCATTTCCTGCAGGCAGAAGTAAATGACTCTTGCACCCAGGCTGAAGCCAATCAGTGTGACAGGTCGCTTGCCCTAGGAGGAAAGAAGGAAAGGAGGAAACGCCATCAAATACTGTTCTAGACCTAGAAAGAGAGACTGGCCATAGGATCCACGAGACCCCGATACGCAAAACACTTAGGCTTGTTCATGATCTTTTAAACTTTCGAGCAATTTGGTTGATTTCAAAGGGATTCTGTATCCTTAAAGTTATGCACCATTCAACATTCAGAATTCTGCATATCTGAGTATTTTGTATTTCTTGATACTCAGAAAATCAATTCAAAGAATCCATTGATCAGAAGTTACAACAAAGTAGATATTTCAAACAAAAACAAAACATTCACTGTCATTGTTTTGAAATTTCCAAAGGAAAGCCTAATTCACCCAACAAAATTTTCCTAGAAATGTTTAAATAAACAGAAGAAGAAGCTGTAATACAAAAATATTGACCACTTCTAGATTTAAGACTGAATGGCAGCAGCACTGTGTGGCTGTTATAAAAATGATGTGGGGTAAGCTTTTATTCTGAATGGCCTAATAAGATTTTCTATAGGATCAAAGGGAGCCTAATCTCAACAACAATGAAAAATGGCCTTTGTATTAACGAGGGAGCAGGTGTGCAATGGACTCCCTAGACATCACGCTAACTACTTTTAGACGCTCCAGCACATTGGAATGTGTGTTTTCACAACAGCGAATGCTTAAAAGGCAGTAACAAATGCCCCCAAGCAAAACAAAGGGCTTGTACGAAATAAAGTTTATTGCCTTTCCTGGGATTGTATTTTTATGAGAAATCAAATTTGTTTCTACTCTGCTGTTTCACACTGTTATTTATGACATGCAGCTCTGGGGCCACGGCTCCCATAGGGCTCCTCTATAATAGATACCGGACTAACGTGCCTGTGAGACGAACGCGTGGCCAGCAGAAAACAGCCTCTCTCCATGCCAATGACAGCCCAGCAAATAATGGCAGGCTTTTGGGGGACAGAAACGTCTTTTGCAAGCCTTCTCAGGGAGGCTTAATAACTTCTGTCACTTCTTTCAGGTACCAACCCATTTCACTTCTCTGTAGGCAAAATCATGGCTCACGGTGCAGTCTTCTCTTACGTCGTTTTGCTAGGGTCTCTTAATTATCAGTGAATATTTTTAACACTCTGTATTCTCTTTTCCTTTTCACCTATCTTTACTTTCTGTTCTCAAATTTCCACCAGGTGAGCTGGCCTGGCTGTTTTGTGACATGGTCAAGCCACTTGGCATTTACGACCTGGATCTCTTTGTCTTCATTTACAAAAGCTCTAGGTTAAATGGAACGAATCTTAGCAGGAATTCTCTGGTTCACTTGGGACTTCCTATTTTTCCTCAATGAACCAGATACATGCTGGTCACCTTCATGCATCATTTTTTAATTTTTCAGTTTATTATTCATTTTCTTCTCCCTGGAAAGATACCACTTGATAGTAGCATGACTATAAAACTTAACCTCCGTGGGCCAAATCCCTTCCAGACATTATTCCTGGATAATTTCTAGCCAATTACCTGCTGTCGACTGAGCAGGATATGTGCTAGGTGTTTGCCTACTTCAGCAGACCGATGGAGACAGACTCCCCAGGGGTTGTCAATGACACTGGCAACAGTTAAGAGCGAAGCTGGCCAAGTCAAGGCCGTCACAATACCTGCAACACACAAAGCAAACAGCACGGCAGAGTCACAAATCTGGGCTGCTCTTAGGAAACATCAAAAGCAAGACAGTTCACTGAACTTAAAAGCTAAACCTAGGACCTTTTGTCATTTCCAGTTCTTCTTTCTCAAGAGCTGATCTGAGAAATGTTTTGCTAGACTAAAGATAAGAAAGAATCTGATGTTCTGATACGGAGGCAAACAGATGCTACACGTGAATGTAACCTGCATGTTTGAAAGGTTTATGTAAAGCAGTAAACCACAGCGTAATAACGTAGAAAAATAAACACAGCCACGCACGAAGGAAGGTGTTTCCAGCTGTAATTTTAAAAGAACGAGTCAATGACACAGAGGCACAGCAATCCAGGAGAGCAAATCTAAATCACAGATGTGGCAGAGAAGGTTCTCAGGCCACTTCTGCAGAGCGGTGCCAATACTGCCAAGGGAGATGCCTTCTCAGAAGTCTTCCTTGTTTAGGAAAGCTCCTTTAAACAGACACCAACAGTGAAACTGCCCAAGAGCCACTCAAGCAGATCTGATATGATTTAGGTTCTTACCTGACAAGACAGTGAATTTTAGGGCTTCTTGAGCCATCATGTTCACAAAACCATTCAGCAGGGAATCCAAGGCATTGCCAAGCTCCATCAAGTACTTGGATTCCCAGGCCAGACAATACTGCTCACTCGATTGCAACATGCTGGTCCATGGTGCTGTGAAGCTCCCTGAGAAAGGTTGCAAAGATGGAATTAATGTTCAGAGAAAACGCACCAACAGCTGACTCCTGGCAAGATGAGTCCAACAAAGAATCAGAAAAGAACTGGCAGGACACTGGAATATACTAATATACTGTGATAACAAGGAATCATATTTAAAACTACCATGAGATTTAGACTCCGTATTTCCACTGTTTTACAATAAATTTGGGCTTTGTAAATAATCATGCAGCTTTAGCTGCCTTGGCAAAGAAAAGAGCCTTCAGTGTGGACAGGCTCAGACTTCATGACGCATTCGATTGCCTCAGAGACTGCCAAGACAGATGGACATTAACACTAATTATGTCAGGTATTAAGGACATTCCTCCTATCATCAGACATCAGGCCAAGTCCTGCAGCTCCATCTTCTCATATAGACCAAAGGAGGGCCTGTCCTGAGAAATATGAAGTGCTGAATGGCTGCAGGAACTGAGTTCAATGGGACCAGAAGCACAGAAAATATGTAAGATCTTGTCAAAAATCTTTCGCAGAGCATCTTCCCAGCACTTCAGTTAGATGGGCAAGGATTGCAGTAATGGCCCTGTCTGAAAACAAGGAATCTGCATTTGCAGATCCAGACTGCAATTATTTTTACTTTGCCATCTAGCCTTGTTAGCCACTTCAGTTTAATTTTTTCCCTCCAGGTGCTAATCAAAAGCAGTGCCTGGATGTTTGAGAGATAATGGATAATTTCCACTGTGCAAGTCTCATTTTTAGCCGAAAGAACAATTTTTAAGCCATACTCTCTCTCCTGCTTGCAGTGTAGCTTGTACTAAGTGGCCAGGAGGGGCCTGGCAACGCTATTAATGGCAGATGAAGTCTGAAGGGCAGAGCAGAATTTTCATCTTAATTAACTAACACCTTTCCCACGCTGTTCCTTCCCCAAACGATGCAGGGCAGGTTGAGGCAGCTGCTGACCAAAGTGGCATGAGAGAGCCCCATGCCAGATCGCACCACAATGTCCTGTCAGATTTGTGAACATACAGATAGGCAGCTACTGGGAGCTCAAAAATCACAAGGTAGCGAATTCCGTAAAAGTCCTGTCCTCGGTCCCTCTGCTTTAAGGAGTCATGCAAGTGTGTAAATAGACAGACACAGCTGTAAGGAGGAAAATGGATGACAATTCTAGTTTTGCTTTTTTAAACATTATAGCAGATTGCTAGTTATGGAAGAAGAATGTGTGTCATTTGTAACTCCCTTTTAAGGGCAAACAGACATAAAAAGGTTCCTGAAGGGACACACTTGTATTTGTAACAGTGCCTGGGAGCCCTCCAACCCCAAGGATTTGGACCCCTGGCAAACAGACAATGAGAAAAGCCAAAGCGCAGTACTGCAAAGTGAAAATAACCTTACTCTGACAGTAAGCTGCAACCTAACAAGCAACAGGACAGAGACACCTTCTGCATTAATGACATCCAGTGTTAATTATGATGCTTCTGAATAAATTGGCAGCTGTTCAGTCAGGTTGCTGAACACATCAGCAGACAGTTGACATATTTTATACGACAAGCTATACTGGAAAATAAAACACTACAGACCTTTCAAGGTTGCTGCCTGTACGTTCACCTCCTGAGTGCTGTGCTTAACAGGATTTACTTGGCAGAACTTTCTTGCCAATAAACCTCATTATCTGGCAGATACCAAGAAAGAAAAAAGACTATTTTCTGTTAATTGCTGGAGGATAAACATAAGGTCTCAGAAATAGGTGAGACACTTTGTACTAGCGCTGGAAATCATCCACCCCAAACAGACCTCTCCTAGCAAAACCATACAGCATTTATTAACAAAAACAATCCTGCTATGACTACTACCAATCCTACTATCACTACCAATTTACTGCCCTCTCTCTTTCCTCTGTTTTGATTGGGATTGCAGATTGGGTTACAAAGTCTTACGCTGAGAATCGATCTGTTTTAGTTACCAGGCCATGCAAGTGTGGGGAAGACACGGTGCTACGAGAGCACAAACACTGCCTGGAGTGGAACACAGACACGGCTCTCCAGGCTTCTCTCAGTTTCCTCATATTGTTCTTACCATATTTGCCAGTGCACAGCCATCCAGTAATTGCTATGGTGATATGAAGCTGCTTTCCTTCAGTAAGTGGGAGGAATTCAAACTCTTCTATGGCTCCCACACGCTTCTTCATCTTGTATCCTACACACAGCAAGGCAGAAACATGAGTCTCAGAAATCGCACAGCAAGGACAGACTCTGCTAACAGTAGAAGTTTCTAAGAAATTACTCGGGTAATTTGGATAGGATTTTTTCCTTTCCAAAAGACTCAGCAAGTCCATGCATTACTTAGAGCTTGGTATGGAGCCAACATGATCCTTCTGAGCTTGCGTGATCTGAGGGAATCCCAGCAGAAGGTTTTTTTGCTGCAGACCAGACATCAGCTGTAACAGCCGCTGCTCTCCATGGCAGCATCTTTCTAATCCAAAGCAGCAAGCTTTCATTTCCTTCATTAGCCACATACCAAATCTTCTTTTCCTACTTGGTCATCAGAGGCTAGACAGTATCTTAATCAGCATTGAAATAAAAATTTCACAGTTGTAAGATTACACCTCAAATTGCTTCCCTTGCTCTGCAGAGCTCAGTTAAGTCATTAGCTCTGCATTTGCAGACATGATCCTGTGCCTCAGTAGCTGAGAAATGTGCAGTGACTCTCTTACCAGTAAGGCCAGCTCCAGCTGCTCCGAAAAGCGATGCCATGACAGCAATTCCAGCAGTCGAACCTAAAGCAGCTGCTCCAGCACTTCCAATGATAGTAGCAGCTCCCGCAGCAACCAGAGGTGCAGCAAGACCCCCTGTCAAGCCTGGAGATGCATCAAGTGATATCACCAATCTATTATCACTTACAAAAACCAGGCAGTCATTTCCCTGTGCTGGGTGAGTACTGCTAATGCTACTGAAAGAGTACAAATGACGGTCTTTTTTGCATCACCAATAAAGGGGCTTCCTGAGACCCTCCCCAGGCCCTGAATCTCTGCACAGATTCTTTGACTGACTTCAGTAAAAATGAAGAATAATTTAAAAGTCAAAGGAAGAATGTGTGGTAGCCTGGCGTGAGCTATGCCCTATTTGCTTAGGAAACATTGATCTAGTCTCACACTATTTTGAATTTAGAGTTGAAGATCTGATCCTCTTATAATGCAAGAGCAAAAGAGGAGAAAACATTTTTTAAGGGTGACGACCTCAGTTTAATACCTCCCCCAGCCAGTGAAGCTATACTGGAATAACTTTTCCAGCTAATTCTTTCAGTTTTATTTTCATGTGGTTGAAAATACTTTTCTTGGATTTGGTGTTTCTTTTCTTAGGTTTTTGTTGTTGTTGTCTGGGGTGATTTTTTGGTATCTAAGTGACATACTACCTCCAGCCTGGTAAAGAAAAGCAGTGAACGCTTTAAAATTAGAGCTTGGGCCAAAAGGTATGATGGCTTCTGTTGCTGAATGTGTAATTCAGACATGCCTCCCTCTGCCCCTAGTGCTGTGCATGCAATTCAGGAGCTAGTCTCCAAAATGCCTAGGGCAGCCTCACCAATCACCGTTCCGCCCCCAACGGTTGCCAAACCGATCAGCAGGTATCTCTTCAGCTTTTTTCTTCTTTCCTTCTTTTTTCTTGATACTTCTGCAGTTCTGTGGGGGGATTAGAAGCACAAAAGCTGATGGAAAAGCCTGACGGATAACAGTGCTGCGTCAGAATCTGCTTTTATTCTCCTCAGTGTAATTTCCCTACTGGGAACAGTAAAAAATAACATGCAGGTGTGGACTGTGACAACACACTCAGATTTATGAGCATGGACATAAACCCACAGATTTAAATTGAAACGATTTAATTGCTGACAAAAGCCAACAGATGTTACTTACTTGGAAAACCCTTCCTAATAGGGCTGAAGCTTGTAAAAAAAGAAACAACAAGTCAAAAGCATTTCAATAACTATATACTGCCTATGTGTCTTTAAAAAACACAAGAAAGCTAAGTGAAAACAGGGAAAAGCGTTTGAAACAAAAGGGAATAGGGGTAATTTGTGACAACAAACAAAGAGTTGGAATTAAACTATTTTCCAACAACAGTGTTTATATTGAGCTGCTTTCTAATTGCACATCACAATATAATAATATAATAGGCATTAAACACAGTCATTAGTTAATTTGTCTGTGTGCATTTAAGCTACGTTTTAACAAGCTTATCAGAAACAGGTAAATAAACCTAAAAGGAACACATATCACTTATTAGGCACTACTTTTGGCTTCTCTCCACTGTCTTTGGTTTCTCTCTTACAAGAAATACTTCCCACTTCAGAGGAAAGTGCGAGAAACAGAGGATACTTGAATAAGTTGTTTACAGAGGAAGGTTCCTTCTAGCCTGCTTATGCAGCAGTTAATCTGGGCCTTGAAACATGAGAATTTATCTTGCTTCCAAACTTGGATATTTTCCCTCTTAATCCTAGCCTAATTGTGGATTTTTATTATCCATATAATTGCCTAATCCTTCCTGGAACCCCCTAAGCGCACTGTAATTTTGATAAAGACAATTTTAGATGAGTCCCAAACAATATGCAGCTTTGTAAAACACAGCAGGAGGAGAATGAAGCACAGTGGGTGAAATCCCTGCGTCGCTCAAGTCAATGGCAGAACTCCCACTGACTTGCATGGCACAATGGCACAGAGACTTTGTCTCCACAGAGCTCCTCCGAAAAACATCGTGTATTGCCTGCTGCAGCAGCAAACGTAGCTGACTGCAGAGCACAACAGCGCTGCCTGCAATGGCTACCTCTTCAGCAATGTCCGTATAACCGTGTTCACTTTCTACAGCCCCACGGTCGAAGCGGTATTTGGATATGCCCTAGTTTGTGCATGCAGTCACCAATCTGAATGCCTGGAAAAAACTGCTCCTGGAGTTCTTTAAACAGGTGCTGCAGTCTGACTGTTAATACCTAAGCTGGCAATATCCAGCGATTTCTGTTCTACATAGTGGTTCATCAGCTTTTATAGTCAATGTGCTGTTCTCTTGGGCTGAAAATAACGACATCAAGAGCGCTGAAATACGTCTAACCTGGCTTTAGTTGCAATAATGAGCAATTTGAGTTATGTGAGTAGAAAGATAGTTTGCAGCAAAAGCCTGCCTGAAGATGCAGTAAGTAAAACTACTGTCATGAGAACTTTTACCTGTCATTGCTTTCCTTCCGTAGTTGCTAGCAACCGCTTTTGACAGTTGCTTTCCTAATAGCTTCTGCATTACAATTATCACTTCATTACCAGACTGCTTTTTATCCACTACAGTAATTAACTGCTTCTTTTGGTACTTCTCTACCCTCAGTAATCTTGGATATGCAGCTTCTTGCCTGAACCACAGATAATGTTCAGAGAGATTTTATAGGTGGAATGACAGACAGGTCATTTTCCAATGATGAAAAGTGGCAGGAGTACACGTTAGCGAGCAACTAACGTCATGTCTTCCAGTTTCTTACAGAACCGTGTACAAAAGAGAGGTTCATACCTGCAAGTCACAACATGTTTGGTGCTAGTAAGATGGGTTTAAGCATTTGGAGCATTGTTCTATAGATGACCATACTTGCACATTCTGGGCCACAGGCCAACACACCCACAGCAGCAAAGGCAGGAACAAAAACTTCTGTTAACAAATATCAGTAAAAAACGCCTACGCAGAAGCTGCCAAACCCCTGTTTGGTTGTCACTGTTCCAAAACCTCTTGCAGTGGATGGTCAAAGCTGGAAGCATCCTAAGCAGATGTTAATGTATTCCCTGCCCTAGAAGTCTGTGAGGTCAAAGCGGTGACCAGTTTATATTCCACTTCCTTTCCCCATTGACTCCTAACTTTAAACCAAACAAAGGGTCATCGATTCCCCACAAATCCCAGCCTTGTTTTAGCACTGCAATAACGAATGTGTTCGCACTGCAGTCTTGGACTACTCTCACCATAAAGATTTTTTTTCCCTTTTATCTAATAGGTATTTACTTCCATGGCTGCAACTTGGGCAAAGAACAAGATTGAAATCCATGGCTTTCGCCACACCAGATATGCACAAAACCCACTAGGCTAGCTGCAACGTTTGAAAGCCACACTTGTAAGTATGCAGCGTAATTCTCCAGTCGCTCTTGCAATTATCAGACACGCTGCTACCTTTTTGGGTCGTGCTATAGGAGCCACAGTCCAGTTGATACAGAATTAGGTATTGGAGCATCACCTTTGTAAGCGACACCCCACCCTCAGCATCGGTGTTTTCCTGCACTAAAGGCCCAGGATTGAGTTTGTTCCCACAAGCCACAGCAAAACAGTCCCCATTAATACCAACCCTTGCTCCTGCTTGCCAAACGGTGTACTGTTTAGCGGTCCATCATCTTTCAGATTATTTTGACTTTCCCTTTTTACAGTGCGCTATAAAGTTAAGCTTCATTTAAATAAAGTTATAACTGAAAGATAACCATCACATGCTGAACCCCCTGGTAACGTCCGAACTGTACTGTGTCAGGGACGTTGATTAAAGCCTTTATTAGCACTGAGGTTAATCTCATAACCTTTTTGCTGAGTTGACAGATAGAAATATTAAACGGTCCCTTGAAAGTCCACTGCGGACATGTTTACTGCCTTACATATTGCTAAACCTTCACACAATTCCTGCCTGATAAGTGGAATATAAAAATACCACATTTGTTACAGATAGCAACATTTTGGCTGTTTCACATCTAAGAACTGGTGATTAAGAGAATTAATCTTATATTAATAACACAGAATTAGGAGTCAGGTCCATAAGTATCTAAAGATGCAGATTGTTGCCCTCAAGATCTACCTTCAATAGGAGTTAGACAGCTGTCTTTTAAACAGGATACAGAGAAGGACAGATCCATAGAAAATGAGCAGCTGAGGATCTAATCCTGAAATTTACAGGAACTTCATTCTGCAAGAGGCAGATCTATCTGAAGAATATTGGGCCAAGAGATGAGAGACACAAGATCTTTGTGATGTATTTAAGCATAATCTACAGTCTAGGAGAGGCAACTGGGACAAGGAAATGAGGCAGTTCAATGCGGAGTTGGCTTTACCAGCTTGCAAGGTTGGGTCTCAGCTCTGATTTTAAGAATGCTGAGCTTTCCTGCTTCTCAGTGCAGCTGAAGTGCTGTGAGGGCTCTGCAACCCTAATCAAGCCATAAATGATTACGCTAAGAGCCATGGGCGGAATGATCAGAGACTGGACTTAGACACAAGTAATTACTGCTAAGCTTTCAAGCACCGGCAGTGTTTTTTCATCCCATAGTCAACCCAAATGTTCTTACTCTGACTCTTCCTCTTTTTGTTCCTTCAGGCTCTCAAGCAGAGATTCCTCCAGGACTTCCAGCTCCTCCAAGGGGATTCTCAGCAGCCAGGTGATGTGGCAGATCAACACCCTGGCTCGAGCATCGTAGTATCCTTAAACAGAGGGAAGCCCAGGAAATCAATCAGTCTGCATTGCACCAGATTAAATAGCGAGTGGCGCACTCAGCTGTGCTAGAGGACCATGTCACATACAAGCATAGCTCCTTCCCTCAGGCCCTCTTCGTCTTCCATGTATTTGAACACAACTCCTATTATCTAGAGAAGAGAGCGATAAATGGAAAATCCTTCTTCCCTGCAAACCTCATCCTGTGAACAAAGTCACTACACCAGGTAACTGCCTCTACGGCAGAAAAAGGAACTCAAGTCCTTCGGTCACCATCCTCTGTGATAGAGGCCTTTTGGCTCTGGATAGGCTGCATCTTTCTTCTCAACAGAGAAATGCTGCAGCAAGACCAGTCCTAACTGGAAATATCAAATATATGTATATACACACACACACATATATATCTATATGGGTAACGTGACACAGTACACCTCAACTATGCACCAATGCAAGATATGGTATCCTGTAAAAATCCACCTCCATACAAAACCTTTATATTCAATTCATCTTGTTGGCAAGAAGAGGGACTCTGGAGTTTAAAACTACATACTGGCTCACCTAGCAGCATCACTGACAGTTGTTCGTGTTTATACTTCACTGCAGGAGATGCGGGAGTGGACACTGCACTCAGACAACACGTGATAGGAGTAATGATTACTCCTGGGCTTATAAGCAGGTGTTCTTAAAGAAAAGACATTTTAAATGTAATAGATTTTAAATTATTTGTGCCAACTCTTGCTTTTTTAATGTGTTTCCCTCAGTAGCACCTGCTGCTTCCTGATGGTAGGCTTTTGTAAAGGGTTCTTGGTGCACTCTGGGATGAAAAATGCAATTGCTTTTCTAGGGGTGGGTGAAGATACCAGCAAGACCCAACTACAAAGTATGTTTCTGATACCTGCTGCACGTAGATCAAATACGGCATTTGGCAATCTATTAAGTTTATTTATTTATTACCATCATTACCAAGATACCAAACTACTTCAGTAGGCTTTAATGATGCCACTTTTAAGATCTGTGCTTAGTTGAGAAATAAAGATAGTATTTATCTTCACTTCATCCCTGGTATGTACCATGTCTTGCAAGCCCAAGCAGGTGTTTTAATGAGTAGCCTTCTTGCTTCCTGTCTGCTAATACACAACTTAGCTTTTGACTTAGCCAGCTTGGCAGTAAGTCAGCAAGGCTTGAAAATATATTTCTTTTCAATTCCAGCTTAGCAAAATAAGCAGTTTTGCAATAACTGACTTGTCAATTTTCCATTAAAAATAAAGCAAGAACAAAAACGGTACTTTGTTCTGCAGTGAAACAGGCTAATCAGCAACCAGTGAGTTCTTTCCTGTGAGAACATGTTAAAACACAGAGATTTAAAAAATGCAAGTAGTGATATAAAACAGGCTTCTTTTAGAAATGAACATTTTGTTCAGTAGGCAGTCTTTATTTCATTAATTTTATCAGACTAATCCACGTTACGGATTGTAAACCAGGAAATTGTTTTATGCGCAATATAATATACAAGTAAAATCACATTTATTTATAATAGGCTTCACAGGACACTCTGGAATTTAAGCCCTGAATATTTTTTTTTTCCTTTTAGGCAACAAGCAATCTGCAGAACATTTGCTAGGCTGAGACTTTCATAACAGCTTTACTGCCTTCGTAAAGGAAGAGGTCGCCTGCTCCCCTGAAACACGGAAGAAAAAACACCCCACTCTAGGTATTTCAGTTCAGAACTTTTCTACCTACATTTGCATGCCAATGCATGGCATGTGAAGGTAAGGAGGTGAACAGTTGTTCAATTTTTAACAGGTATTATTAATCATTCCTAATAGAACAGTTGCTTTTCCTGTAGCGGATGCAGGGAAAGAGTATGCTGCTTTTGCTATAGAGGAAGCTAAGATAAAATAGGACGGTACCTTCAGCTTTTTGAGCATTTTAAAGTATCAGATGTAAACTCATCTACATTATTCTTACAAAGAACAAATGCTAGGTAAACTTACCATCTCTAAGAGAGAAGGACAGAAGATCCTAAAAAGGAAAAAAAGTATATTCAAGTTAAAACTGATGACGTATGCCCCGAGGTCTCAAAATGGAGGCATGAAAACCCATTGGACTATGATTTAATTACTGCAGCATGTCAGTTCATAAACCTGGGAAGCCAGCAAGCTACAATTCAGTAGGGCAGCACAGAGCAAAGCCAGATGTTTCCAGTACAAAATTCTCCATATGCGGGTACAAATGGCTGGACAGAAGTAGGTAAGCGCAAGATGGGAGGGCAGTGCCCGCTTGGTATATGCTGAAGCATCCCATATTTTTTGTTATTAGCGATCCTGTTGCAATTGAAAGCACCACGATTACACCGTACTTCAAAGTTCGGAGAAACAGGGCTCTAATCCTCCTACCACTCTAATGCCTTCTGCTCGCTATATAGGCATATATACTCATACTTTCAACATGAGTAACAGGTTTGAATGCTACTCTAATGGACTAGTGGCCCTTATTTTCTTTGGCGTCCTGGGAATTCATAGCTCTAGGTGGTAAGGCTGAACTGGCATGAAGTTATTTTGGATTAAGTACTCAAAAATAGAAACCTCAGAATTTATGGCCATCTGTCAAGATTGAGGGACTTGACTCCTGTGTTGGCTCTTCATCATAAAAAAATTGGAAAAACAGATCAATCCAATAGATGTTTTCTATGGACAAATCCATAAAAAAAGAGGCCAGTGTTTTTACTACTATGTTCTCCTCTTTTATTGTCACTGGATAAATTTTAAGTACTTTATGTAACTACAACACTAGGCATTAGCTCAGTCTAGCTACTTCCCTCTCCTACACACAAATAAAGCACAGCTGAATTTTACAGGGAATCCTTCAGCCCTTTGGGAACACAAAAAATGCAGCCAAAGACGTAGGATGCTGCCAAAGAGTTTATGATTATTAGTTCCGTAAGCTCCTAAGCAGAATTTGTATCGTAAAAATGTCTCTAATCTTTTCCCTACTGCATGAGAAGTGTAGAACGGAGAACAAGCCATCCTTAACCAACTCCTACTAGAAGTGGGGCAAACTGTAGATATTATCAAGGCAAAACTAAGTGCCTGGACTCCGAATATCATTTTAACATGAGAAGCATCTGCTATTTCATAAAGGAGAAGAGAGCTTTTGCATAAGACTAGGGAAACCAAAGGATTAGGGCAGCTGAACTCCCACCTCTGGGTGCTTTTTCACAAGGTATAGCCCCAAAACCTTCGCTCCACTGCTGCCTAATGTTTTCACACACACACCTCTACTGCTGAATATCTGGGTGGCTGTTTCCATCCACAGAGAAGCCTTCTTTTGCTTGCCTGTCCTGCAAATCCTAATGGGATAAGGATTTCCAGAAGGTATCTGTTGGGCTGGGCTCTGCACAAAGCAGTCATCACTGCTCCTTCATCCTACATCCCAATGGCCACAGCGCTCACCCAAGAAAAGGAAGGTCCTGGTTTGCTATCTCCAGGGTGTGAATAACCCTTTTAATTTAAGTTAGTCACTGAATCAGGTCTCCTCTGTTCCCCCTATCACCATGTTGCAGAAAAAAAAGGCTTCTTTTTAGGTCCGGCCACGATTAGTATTCTGTGCATGCACACGCACTGCAGACTGTTCCCCAGGCTGGTTGGTGGGATGTTGGAATTGGAAACATTAATCTCCATAGGCAGAGGGAGGAATGTAACTCGGGCTTCCCAGAGCCCGAGTGCTGTAACTACCCAAGTATTAGATACATGGGCACCATCACCTCCTCCCTGGCTGCAGTTTTGTGAGGAAGGGTTGGCATAGAGGTGTCAAAGCCCAGCTGAAGGTCCAGGGCTGGGAGTCCCAAGCAGAAAGTTGACCAAGCAAAGAGTCTGAAGTCTAGAATAAGGTGAAGCTTGTGACCGTGTCGCCATAATTTTCCAACAGGCTTGTGGTTTGTGGTTTGTGCAGAGCCCATCTGTAGGCAATACATTCTCCCTGTGTGTTGCGAAGGGAGCCGTGGCTCTTGACTCAGGTCCTGTACAATATGCCCAGTATCATCTGCGGCACCTAATATCAAATAATCTCTTTTAAAAATCTGGCCTAAGCATTTATATACATGTATTTCAAAAGGTGAGGGATGGATACAGGTAATCAGCTGATAAACTGGAACTACTGTTTTTATTGCATCTGTGCTAATTAGCATTCCCAAGTATTTCTAATTGGTTTAGGCTTTGCACATACTGCTGTGCAGTCACCTGGAATCCAACCGGAATTGATTAGATTAATTCACAAGTAGTTTGTTTTCCTCCTCTAAGCAGCGGTTATTATATTTCAGTCTTATCTTGAAGTTGGTGTTTTGAATCTCCCTGTGAATTCTATGCAGGAGACTACCACCCATATGACTGAGAAACCTTACAAAGAAAGGGAAGCAATCTTTATTCAGAGTCTTTGCCAGCTTTTGATGAACTGCTGCAAGTTCAAAACCCATTTCCTCAACAACAGAGAGCATCCAATCCACATCGCAGTGGATGTGTGTAGAAAAACACAGGAAAAATGGGCATTCTAAGTATGTTCAGAGCAAAAAAAATTATTCATAATAAGAACGTTAAACATTTTCTCACCTATCATCACTTCTTCACCTCTTTTGTTGCACTGCCTTCTCATACTGCACTCACAGCCTGTGTGTTATGACTACTGTCCTTAAAGGATTCAGTTAACCAACATTTGCCTGTATTAGTCATCTGCAATGAATGCAAACAAAGATAAAAATCCATAATCCTCAAATTTTCATTGAATCAATGGTGAGCTCACCGCTCCTGACCTCCTGTATCATCCCTTCAGCACCGCTGAGATGGAGGGCATTCAAAAACGCCCTAGTTTTGTGCTGACAAAAACTAGTGCTGACAGGACCCTGCCACTGAACACACTGAGCAATTAAAGTGTGTACTTGTCAAATAAACAGTAAATGTTCCATCAGTAGCAGCTGAATACAAAGAAGCAAGAGCACCATAAGCAACATATCAAGAATTCACAAAGCTTTGTCCCGTAGCTTGTTGACTTTTAGGTAAGAAGGAAAAAGCTGCTCTCAGCTTGATACATTGAAGTTTCCCACACGCCAGTATGCTTTCCCAAAGACACCTTGCAAGCCTCTGCTGCCTTGCTCTTTAATTCTATCTTCCCTTTGACAAAATCAAGCACCTTGCCTATATACATGACTGCATAAGGTATTGATGTTGTGGCATTAGACTGATAGCTATTCCTTTGCTTTCAACTAATCAAAGAATTGTTATCTACGGCTTCTGTATTCCACCTGAATCCAGGGGATAAGTGGCTCAGTTCTCTGGCTCAGAGCAAAATACCGCGTGCTCCCACTGATCCAGAGCCACTTTTGTAAAAGCACAAGGAGACCTTATGCAGCATAAGCTCAGAGCAAGCACAAGTTAAATTTCACCAAAATTTCACCCTTAATAAACTCAGCAGCAATGCAGGAAAACTTGCCTGATTCTAGAGAATCCATCTTGAAGCAGAGAGAACGAGGGAAACAACCTGGGAAATACCAAGCCATCTAGATGCAGAAAGAACTGAGTGTGGATTTATTGATTTTGAGCAAAACGACAACAAAACAGCTGCTCTTATTTTAGAAGGTCTGTCCTAACTTATTAATTAAGCTTACGATTCTCTGTCACTGTACTTACACTGTTAATAGGACTTTGGGCATTGTAACATTCGGATATTTGGAGCAGATCCTCTGAGGCCTTTTATGGACTGACTAGAAGACACGAAAGGTGGCTGAGATAATGGGAGCTGGTCGTGATGACAAGAAAGTTCACTCCTATCATATCTTTACTTACGCAGCCGTGTTCTCACATCTGCTGTTCTCTCGGGCCATTGCTAAAGGTGAGTGTCTGATAACTGTTACTCAATATCGGAGTATTATCTGCACGCAGGATGCCTCGCTATTTCCTTGTGTGCAGTATACAGCGAAGGGTGCGAGGTGACAGTGGCCACGTTATGCCTGGCATCAGCAGCAGCCTACTGTGCTCTTTGCCCTGCACGGCGTAACGTGAGGCTGGATGAGGAGATATCTTCCCCATCTGAGCTTCTGCAGCAAAGGTGAACACCACTGAAATACTTCACCTCTTATCTTCACATCAGCTTTTACGTCAGAACATTACGGAGTAGTCCTAGCCTCACTAATACTTTCTCAGTGAAAGAAAATAAAGTCACAATAACTTATTTCCTTCTAGCCAAAGCTGACTCTGGGAAAAAGACTCTGGGAATTGTGCTATTTGGAGCACGTATGTAAGGTGTTTTGTATTACAGGGATAGTGAAGGGGCTTTGAAACAAATGAAAATCAGGCCTATCAGGTTCAGTCTTTCACCAAAATCTGTAGAACGCCCATATGAATCAAAACCGCTGCAATAATACAGTCAAAGTGAAAAGTTTGACAGTTCTCTGTTCTGTAGAGCGAAAGCATGAAAGACACAAAACGTTAATTCAACAGACAGTAACTGTGCCTCATGTTCATCACTTCCACAAGCTGTTAATGGATAGAGAGACTGCCAGTCACCCACACAGCTGCTCAGAAATATATGCATATCAGAAGCATAGATTTTACTTCCTTGACTGTACAAACACAACTTCAGCTGCAGACAGACATGCGTGACAAATCTCTTTTGCAAAAGCAAACAAGGGCGAGAGGAGCATATGAACTTACTTGGGTAATGACAACTGGATTTTCTTTCAAGATGGGATCCTTCAGCAAAATCTGGGTAAAAGTTTCTGTGCCCTCACCTCCTAAGCCGCTAGCAAATGCTGTCATGGCAGGTAAGACAGCTTTGGGCAGGTCCAGCCATTTCACAAAGCCCTCAATGAATTCCATCCTGAAGGAGCTGTAAGGCAACAGTAGCAGTTAAGGCTCTGTAACTGGGGATTTTTGCAAACTTTGAGTGGTCCCTGCTTTCAAATGTCGATCTGTTGCTGTTCACACAAAAATCAAAGCACAGTAAGAAGTCAGCAGAAGGCGAGTTGCTACACAAGCCGGCTAAACAAACAAGCAAGCAATCTGAATGGAGCTAGACCTTTCTTCAATACGTGCTTTGAAGTCTGCAGTATTAAGGGATGCAATTTGTGCTGAAGTATAAAAGTCTTAAGGGTGTAAGAGAGAACGTCAATTAAGAAAACACCTAATGTCAAAAGGATCTTCCACTTCCCCAACTTCAGAAGACCCCACACAGTCTGATACCAGCTCCGTCTGAGCTGCTACCCAAAAGCCACCTCCTTTGCTCACCCCTTGCTACCCCGTGTAGTACCTTTGCTCTTTTTCAGGGAACAGCCGTGCCAGGGATATCCCACAAAGCGCCGCATAAGCAAATCTTCCTGGTTCACCCAGCTGCTGGCCCAGAAGCACACACGGTTCTTTTTCATCTGCCTGTTCAGCCCTGCTCTGCTGTTTCGAAGCCCAACCTCTCCCCTTCTCTTCTGCAGCCATTTTTACCTGCAAATTCAAAGAGGAAAAAGCAGAAGAAAAAAACCACAACATCAAACAGTTGGAAACCAGGAAGCAAGGAGACAAATTGCCTTTGCTTATTCACTGTCACACTTGCTGTCAGTATTAAGTCAAGTCTGTCAAGGTCCAGCTTGTGTATCCCCCCACAGCCTGGTGCTGTGACCAAAGAAGACAACAGGAGACTTTCTGTTCACCAGTTCTCAAAAGTTTTGCACAAAATGAGCCAACAATACTTCACACAGCAGAAGGAGAAATACTTCAAGACGCAAAGAGACTGGGCTCCGTTCAGGCATATCATTCACATGTTTGCCGCAAAAATAACATGTGAAATAAAAGCTCTGCACCTGGTGCAAGGACCGGTACAGCTGCCCGGGAAATCATTTGCCTCTCTCATCCTCAACCCAAATTGCTCCTCTGTTTATTTTGCTGACAGTGTTAAGAAAGTTGAGTCCAGCTGCAGCCTCTGATGAGAGGGACTTTTAATGTGTCCCATGGACATTGCTAGGCTTTGTTTTTAACATTCTCTCCTCTATACAACCTGCCACTGCTTTTTCCCTAAACATAAGATCCCTGCGCCACACGGACCTTGAACTGGGCCAAAATACTATTTTTTTAGAGCGTGGACGCGCACGCTTCCAACTGAACGGCTTACAACTGCTCCCCGGGAGCTACCCTGATTAAACAAGCGGCTAACCAAGATGACTGAAATCGGGCAGATGTGACAAGAGCTCATTTCACAATTCAGCGTGGGTAACAATCTGCTCCAAAGCTCGCTTACATCACCTGAAATTTCTACTGACTTCACCAAGATTCAATCAGTTTCTAAGGGGCCCAAACCACCTATTTCATTATATACTTCCTATTTAAATGTCTCCTTTCTTCTGAACCCCGTAGAAAGGAAAGTGGCTAAATAGGAATTAGGAGCCCATGACACTACAACAGAATCTCAGAGGATGCAGACACCATTTATGGGATAGTTTTAGAGTCCTAGAAGAAAGAAATGCAGCACATGAGCAGCTCTTTTTAAAGACATTTTATTATCTGCATGCCGTCTGTCATGGTCTTCCAGGAAAGGTGTCTGTCTTGCCTTCCCACTCAGAAATTTATTCGAGGAGATTCGTATTTCTCAAGGCTTGCACTATTTAACTGCTGATGTATAAATGCAAGGAAAATTCATCACTCAAGGGCCGGCGGTTATCGTAACTCGCACCTCTCTGCCTGGGAGAGCTCAGCCCCCCACAACACGTACCCCCTGACGCCGTCCATCCGTGGCTTCAGCACACGGGTCTAAGGCATCTCGGTGCGTTTCCATGGAAACATCGCATTCCAGCAACACGGGAGCACGAAGTCCGCAGAAATAAACAAACTCTGTTATTTCCGTACCAACCAGAGAAGGGAAGGGCCAGATTACGCTTCCCCGGGGAGAGCGGGCGCCTGGGATCAATCCCGGCCCCAGCAGGCGCCTGGGATCAATCCCGGCCCCAGCAGGC